TACCATATATAAACACTGGATGCGTACTATGCCTTTCAAGGCCTGCATGGTCAGACTCCTTTCTACCCCATCTCAAAGAACCTCCCCCAAATCCCTATTCCTACAGGAACCCTCTTTCAGTCTTTCCAATATACCCCTTCACTCAGTGTGGTAGAACAATTGCAAAAATGGCTCCAATACTGGACTCCTCCCAGTATCCAGACCCTTTGCAACAACTCCAAGAGGTCAAGTCTATTTCCCCACTCCTCAGACTTGGCTTAGCTTACTTTGGCCAGTAAGTGAAGTGCTCTTGTGCCACTTCTAAGCCTAGGCCTCAAGAGGTGTGTTTGTACACGCCTCCCCTGACACCACTATTAGAACATGCCTGGTGAGCTTGTTCAAGGATGAGACAGCACATGGAGTCAAGGCTAGTCTAGATCAGCCAACCCCCAGCTGCTGATGCACCAGCTGAATCAAATACAAATCAGGACTCCCAACCAACACAAGACTCCGCATACATTGGGGATATTACTCCACTAGGTTAGATTCCCCACTGAGAGTCTCATAGCAAATATGATAATCAACCACAATATTTGTGGTTGTAAATATTGTGTATAAAATACACAATATTTGTGTATTTTAAAAATGTCTACCTCTCCTGCTGGACTGTAAACTCCATGAGGGCGGGAGCCAGGTCTGTCTTTGATCACTACTTTGTCCTTAGTATCCAGCACAGTGCTAGCTACAGTCAGTACTCATGACATTTGAGTAAAGACTTGCCTGACATCCCAGTTCATACACTCGAAATAACGTGGTTCACATGGCTCTGAGGAATTGGTGACTCGAGAAGAATCTGCCAAACCATCTAGATACAGCCATCAAGAACGCTTTATAACCGAGGGCCTGACCAATCCTTCACTTTCAAAGTCTGAAAGAACCCAGCTATCAGGCCCCGGGAAATGGCGCCATATATCTTTCCAAGAATAGTTCTGTCTTTCCTAATTTGGCTTTGCTTCTGCCACGTATTTGCAGAGGAGGGCATGGTGGCCTCATGTGGCATTATGGTTCAGTTTTTTCCTTTGTAAACAGGACTGATAGAAAAACACATCAGTGTATGCATAGAACTACAGCATCACTTGGCATGCTTTCAGGAAATGCTAAGATTATGTGCTATTATTTAGAAATCAGATGCGTACATGTTGCCTACTCTTTTTAGGAGTAATGTGACTATTAATAGCTCTTAGCCACCGAACGCTCCATACTGTTTAAAACCCTGACATAACTCCCTGTTTGCCATAACGCCTTCACTGATGCCTGTACCCTCTAGTGACCTCTCCTGTCCTGGACATTTGCTCTCCACAATTTCACATCTGATTCTATTGTTCTTTAATTGTTCCTCACAGTTGGCGCTATGGTTTACTGGCAGATTTTCTCCCGAGCAGCATCTGTAGTTGTGCTGGGTGTTGAACGGGAGGAGTTCCTGTCTGGAGGCCGGGGAAGCATCCTGTCTTCCTCGACATTGGTTAGAGTTGGTGGAGACTTGAAAGCCTCCATGACAGCCCGCTGCAGAGTTGGCGGGTTCCTGTCCCACTCTCCCCTCTTCAAGCTGGGAACCGCTAAGCCTCTGGCAGTGAGACATTGGCTAGGAATTTCTCAATGCAGTACCTTCGCTGAGAGCTATTAGCATGAGGTGCCATTATTTTCCTTGGATTGGATTTTCTCCAGAATTCTCAGCAGGCACTCCATAAGCAGCGTATGATCGAAACAGGCAAGGATTGGCAAGAGGCTGGTGTGAAAATCAGCAACTGAAAATAGGCGGCAGTGTGTAGCTCGCTCAGAATCCTTCTGGTAAGAGCTATTAGCAGTTAAAGCATCTATCAGGTTTGCCATCCAAGGGATGAGGTATCTGTTGAGTGGGAAGTAGTCACCTGCAGAAAGCAGGCAGCTAGAAATGGTAGAACTCTGGCAGGTTCTTGGAAGATGAACAAGGCACAGCTAAATATGCAAGTTGCTCAGCCCTTGCCCCAGACCCACTAACCCAGAATCTCGATGGGCGGCCTGGAATGTTCATTTTTTATAAGCATCCCCTAGGGACTCCAATGCAGATGGTCTTCCAACCATACGCTAAGAAATGCTGGTTTCAGAGTAGAGGGAAGGCAACCAAATCAGCACAACTTTGGGAAGGCTGTCTTGGGTGAAGGAAAATTAGAGAGCAGCATGCGAGTAAAGGGCCAGGGATGATAGTAAGCGTCCAAATCGGAGCCAAACCGATTACTTAGAGTTTAAAGCCAACTCTGGGGCCAGCCACTTGCTAGCTATTGCTTCCAACCCCTGATATCACAATCACACTGTAACAGTTAGGAATCAAACAGGAGACAGAAATTATATAGTTTCAGGGGAAAAATTAATAACTATAATAGGGTACCACCTACAAGGGGAAAGGGAAATTCTTAGAATACAGAAACAGGAGATAGAAGGAGCAGGCACTACCAACATCTAGGTCCAGGCAGGCACGGGTACGCGTGTGGGGCTGCACGCACGCACACACATACACACACACACACACAACACACACACAAACCACCAAGGAAGGCACAAATCTGGGAGTGCTCTCCCATCTGTTAGGAAGTTCAGATCTATGTTGAGCATTTCAAGTCATCTGCTCCGGGTGAGGGTTTCCTAAGGTTTTCAAGCAAAGGACCACTCGTCTCCTCAGACACAGGACAGCAAGCTACTTCCACTGCCTCAGGAGGTTCAGGGAGGTCTAGGGTAACTTGAGTGTCCAAGAAACGTCAGTTTCCTCTAGGTCCAAGCAGATGTCACTATTTCAAAATTTGATATCCCATTCCTTCCCAACCGATGCCTTAACCTCACAAGAGGAACTTAACAAGGCTGTAAATTCCACTAACATTGTAATTCAGCCCACAAAGAGATGCCAAACACCCTGGCTGCCCTGCACTGCATAGCCAGCTGAGAGGAGCGCTTGAATCAGGAAGGACCCTTTCCTCCTCTAATGTCCCTCCAGCACCCTCTACTGATGACGCTTCACATCGGACCAAATGGCAAGGGAGAAATGTTCCAGTATTTCAAGTAGGGCAGTGGAGGCAGGGTTTGGAGCTTAGAATCAGTGGGCTGTTAACTGGCAAGGCACCTCACTTTCATTCCCTCTCCCACGGTCTCCACCACCACCCCCTGATAAAAACACAAATACTGCATATAGAAATGGGGAAACCCACGATGTAAGACTCACAAAGAACATCTTTCTCATACTACATACTCACATGTATCTAGGGTAACCAACCATTTGAGTTGCCCGATACTGTCCTGCCTTTAGCATTTAAAGTCCTATGTCCTGGAAAACCTCTCAGTCCCAGACAAATGGGAATGATTTGTCACCCTACATGCATCCTGAAGGTTTCTAAACTTTCTCTGCATCCAAATCACCTTGAACGCTTGGTAAAAATGCAAATGATTTTGTTAAAAATGCAGTTATTTTGGATTCAAGTGGGCCATGGATGGATTCTTGAGAAATGTTCTACTTCGAGGCTGAAACGGTGTTAATTACTACTTTTAGGACTCCTCAATCCAACTTCTTTGTCCCTGTTCCAAAACTATAATCACTGAAAAGAAAGAAATGACATCCTTTGGAAGACACAGCCAAGGTTCCTGAACCAGAAACGGACACTGACAGATTACTAGTTGATGGGGACCAAAAAAGATAAAAATTACAGTCTGGACTTACCACTTTTCTCTCCTTTCAGTTCTAGGATAAATCATTTTCCTTCAGTGTCACAAAGTATAACAAAGAATGATGGATGCTGTGAAAATTAGATTGGTGGAGTACACTGAGCTTTTGCAGAGAAGCAGTATATAATACAAGACTTATTTTAAAGACTCCCACAGTGACTGTGATTTGGTAGGTCTTAGAGAATAAGCTGCACAAAACAGACAATTCAGTGCTACTTTTGCTATTTTCACACTGCATGTGGTTCAACATGGCCATTTAAAGATGCTTCTCAAAAACTCAGATGGGGTGAAGAGAAGACACCTTTTGACCCAGTGGTCAAATTTATTTATTTTTAATTTTTATTTTTTAAAAAATATTTTATTTACTTATTTGACAGAGAGAGAGCACAAGCAGGAGGAGCGGTAGGCAGAGGGAGAGGGAGAAGCAGGCTCCCCACTGAGCAGGGAGCCCCATGCGGGGCTCCATCCCAGGACCCTGGGATCATGACTGAGCCAAAGGCAGACGCTTACCCGACTGAGCCAGCCAGGTGCCCAAATTTATTTTCTTTTTTACTTTTTAAGACATTCTTAATATTAATTGAATTTCTATAGTGTTCCAAGCACCCTGCTAAATTCTTTACATGCATTACTACATTTAACCCTCGCAACAAGAGCTTTGCCCATTTTATAAAGAAGTGGAGTACCTGCCCTTGATTATACATCAAGTAAATGGTGTCGTCTGGACTGAAACTTAGGTCTGTTCACTGAAGCAAAATGTGCTTAGCACTGGAGAGCCATGAAGGAGACAGCGTGGTCCCATGCCCTGTTGTGTTACTGATGGAGGGATGCACAGGCTGCGGTGGGAACGCAAAGGAAGTGCCTGTTACACTCTCCAGGGCTTCCAGGGTAAAATTCAAATCCTTTTACCTAACACATCACGACCTGGTTTTCCCAAGCCCCTCGCCCTTCTACCCGCGGGGACCCAGTCACTCCGCAGAAACCAAGGATGCCGGCGCTTAGACATCTCGTTTGGTTTCGGAGCAAGGGGGGTGGATTATGGCCCGAGAGACCTCGGCCTAAGATACACGTCTTCATTCCCACCTTCGCCATATCCCGGCTCCTCACGGGGCTCCCACGGCACCTTCAGTCTGTGCTCCCCTCCAATCCCGACCCTCCCACCCGCTCCTTAGCGAGCCGGCCCTCCCGGCGCTGGGAATACGGAGCTGCCCGGACTCCAGCCGACGGCGCCGGAAGTGGCGGCGGCGGCGGCGGCGCGTGACGTCAGCGGAAATACCTGACGCCGCGGCCTGTGGTTGCGGGATGACGGAGTCGGTGCTCCTCTCTTAAGGTTCCCCGGCAGCCGGCGGCGGAGTGGGCCTGGGGCAGCGGGGTCCGTTCCAGGATCGAGCGGGTTTGTACCAGCGCGCCGGGCTCCGCCGGCTGCCGTGGGGTCCCGGTTCTCCTGGGTGGCTGGGGGTATGGGGACCGCCCCGTGAGGACCCCCCCCGGTCGACCTCCAGGACCGCATCCTGGGGCTCCTGGAAGAGAAGGCTCTAAAATAGGGAGAGTTGCTAACTCTGCGTCAGGACCGGGCTTTTTCACCTTCGAGGACCGCCTATTCTGCACTTCTGCCGTGAGAGAGGTATTGGTTTCCCTTTTTACAGAGGAGGAAACTCAGACCCGGAAAGGTGAAGTCAGCTGACAGGTCATGCAGCTGGGAACTGCTAGATTTAGATTCAGAGCGAGTCAGGCTGGCGCCGGGGCCCTCGCCTTTTACCTTCTGCAGGGTTCTCAAGCTTTATGTGGGTAAAGAATCCCAGGATGGAAGGTGGGGTTAGTTAACAGTTTCTGGGCCACAAAATCAGAACTATAACTAATTGTGTTAAGAGTTTCTGACGGTCTTGTTGAGAGAAAATGGCAGCTTCCTCTACACATCTTGTGGGAGTGGAAGGTTGGTATTTGACTCTGCCATTAACTCTTTTTGGGCAGATGGCAGTCTCTGTCATCTCCCTACCTATTAAATGAGAAGGAATTATATACTTATCACCTGGGGAAATTTGTTAAATGTCCATATTCCTGGGCCCAGCACAGCTCAGGAGGTCTGGGGAGGGTCTGGAAATTGGTATGCTGAATAAGCCATAAAATGAGCTTGTTACCTGTGAGGACTTGAAATGTGAAGCTTTCTTAGCGCAATAAGGAAGTGGGTCATAGGTTCAGAACATGTGGCTCGAACCTCCCTGTTTTTGTCTCTTTGTAGCTGTGTTCCTATATTTGCTGTGAGCTAAAATTTTATTGGCCAAAATGCCAAATTAGTATTATTGGCCATTATGAGGTGTTTCTTTTCAATTAACTGAAAACTGGAAGTTAATAAAGTTTGAATGTTAATCTACTTCCTGTTGATTTCCTGAGTGACTCTGGGTGAGCCACTTAACCTTGTGGTCCTCATACATGCCCACTTAGAACCATCTCCTACAATGCTTGTCACAAAGACAAACGCTTGTATCCATCCTAAATCAGATCTTCTGAGACAGGCCATGGGTATTTTTAACAAGCTTCCAGGGAAGTTTAATTATAAGTTTAGTTATAATGGAATGTGGAAATGCCCTTGGAAACTGAGTCTGAGCTTATTTCTCAGTATCCATATAGGTGAGGGAATATTACAGTTTCTTGCAGACTAATAAGACTACTGTGGTAGATCTTAGAATTTCTTAACATGTACTTTCTTGTGAAAGAAGCAAAAGTACTGTAAGATGGTTGGGACGCCTGGGTGGCTCAGTCCAGCTCTCGATTTTGGCTCAGGTCATGATCTCAGGGTAGTGAGATCAAGCCCTGCATGGGCTCTGCGCCAGGCATGAAGTCTGTTGAAGATTTTCTCTCTCCCTCTGTCCGCCCCACTTCCCACGCTCACTCTGTCTCTAAAAAAAAAAAAAAAATTAAAAAATACTATAAGATTGCAGAAGATAAACATTAAAACCAGCAGTCCTAAGTGACTTATTAGGCTCCTTGATTGAGATGCTATGATGACAAATTAATTTTACATAGAATCTCCAATTGCATTGAGCTTGAAAGGATTATAATGACTCCCTTAGATAGGTCACACTCACAATCCTAACTAAAAGCACTTTTTTTTTTTATTTTCAACAGATAACCATTGCGTGATTTTGATCAGGAATGAAATCTGAAAGCTAAGAGCAGAAGCCTTTTTGGTCAACATGGAGGACAAAAGACGGCGAGCCCGAGTGCAGGGAGCCTGGGCTGGCCCCGCTAAGAGCCAGGCCACTGCTCAGCCAGGCAAGAGCTCGTGGGGATCTTGTGTGAATGCCCTTGCATTTCACTTGATGTTAAGGAGTTATTTAAAATGTAGCTGGTACTTTGATTTTCTTGATGTTCATCTTTTATTGAGGGTTGAGTTATAGTATTTCTCATATTTAGTCACAGCTCTCAAACCTTTCAGTGTGTGAGGTGGGATCTCCAACGGACTTTACTAATTAATTTCTAGGTGTCATATCGGTTATCTTCAAGTAGATTTTATTGGCCCTTGCTCCCCAGAACAGACTTTTTGAGTCTGGTTCACGTCTATTCTTGCTCTTGATTCAGCTACCACTGCTAAGAGCCATCTCCACCAGAAACCTGGTCAGACATGGATGAACAAGGAGCATCATCTTGTGGACAGACAGTTTGTGTTCAAAGAACCCCAGCAGGTAAATTCTTACTTCTCCTACAACAGTAACAGATTTGCTTGTAAAAGGTATATTCACATAGTAGACAGTCCGATGGTGACTGAATAAATTCACTAATAAAAGGAGCGTGAAAGGCCTATAATAATAATGAAATGTGGAGTATCAATTTCCTAGTATGTCTGAAGATTCTTTATAGTCTGCTCCCAACTGATGGGCATATATAATTCCCATTTTGGTGGGGGGAAGGAGGTTATACTAGGACTGGCGCTTGCACTGGTTATCTGAGTTCTAACAGTCCTAAAACCATGCTGTCTTTAGTGCTGGTGTAGCACATGTCTCTGGAATTGGGTTGAAATTTTCAGCTACTACAATGCCTGATTTTTTAGCTTTTTTCCCCCCACCATGGGGAAAAATTGTAAGAAACAGTGAAGATTCACTGTTGTTAGTGACATGGAAAAAGCTAAAAAATGGTATCTTGCTGTAATAGTGATTGTGTAAATAATGATTAAAACTTATTTCTTAGTTTATCTTCTGTTTTATTTTTTAAAAGATTTAACTTTATTTGAGAGAGAGAGAGAGAGCACATGTGCATGACTCGGGAGAGGGAGAAGGGGAGAGAGAGAATCTTTCAGGCAGACGCTGGACTGAGCATGGAGCCCAATGCAGGGCTCAGTCTTACAACCCTGAGATCATGACCTAAGCCAAAACCAAGAGTCGGATGCTCAACTGACTGCGCCACCTAGGTGCCCCAGTATATCTTCTATTTTAAAAAGTCTCCTGGAAAGAAGGCTTTCCTAGAATTATTGGCTGCTCTGAAAATGGATTAATTCTACTTTTATTATTTTTTCTTGCCCACTAGCAACCGTGAAGTAGTTCTAAGAAAAGCAGACAAGGGTCTCTGGTGGGATAGTAAGTGCTTGAAATAAAAAAAGGGATAGTTTTAAATTTGACTTACTTTTATCAGAATTGAGAGGATATGGTCATCCTGCACATAAGCCTTTCTGAGGATTAGGGACCATTCCAGAAGTAAAATCTGCCTGTTTCCTTGCAGGTAGTACGCAGAGCCCCAGAGCCACGAGTGATTGAGTAAGTAATTTGCTGCCTTTCTGTATCTGTTGTCCACAGTAAAATGGAGAGGCCAGATCTTTCCCTCACTGGGTTTTCCATCTGAAAGAGATAATGGCCCAGTTACTGTTTTAATTTTAGGGTGGGATAGTTGTATCTTAGATGTCTTTAAAGTTGGTCTTTGGGAAGCATTTCTCAATTTGCTGATGGTGTGGAAAATGCAACAAGATACCTCTCCCTAAACTGTGACTCGTGTGGATTTCCTGACCCTGATTCATTAATCTGCAGATAGTAAACTAAAATATCTCCTAGGCAAAGACAGAGGGGGATTTTCCCTCAGTCATTGAAACGTGGCATTTTTTTTTAATTTATTTATTTATTTTAGAGGGAGAGAGAGTGCACACAGGGAGGGGCAGAGGGAGAGGGAGAGAGAAACTTTAGCAGACTCCTCGCTGAGCTTAGAGCCCCACACAGGGCTTGATCTCAAGACCTGAGCTGAAACTAAGAGTTGAATGTTTAACCGACTGTGCCACCCAGGTGCCCTGAAACATGGCTTTTTGGGAAGACTTTAGTCAGGCTCTGTTTTACTAGCAATACTTATGAAAGCTGCTCAAAATCTAGAGGGCCTTGAATGTTCATATAATTGTTCCAGAGCAATTTAAATTCCTCTTATATTGATCTGTATATAAAATATCATCCTTAATTTATAATTCTTCTTACACTGATCTGTATGTAAAATATTCTTTTCTAAAATTAATGAAATTGCCCCTCAGTAGCCCACAGTTTAGTAAATGAAATAGACATGTAATCAGATAAATTGCAGTCATGTATATTATAAAACAGTAGACTTGTAGTAAGGTCTAGTGGTAGCACAGAGGATGAGAGGTTAACATTATTTGGGTGGATTAGAGGTCAGGAAAGTGTTACAGAAGGTGAGGCTGAACTGAGATTTTGAGGAATGAATTAGAATTTTCTGCCAGACCAAAGCTCGGGTGGGTTGGATTGGGGGTGCTGGATGTGGGGAGGCATTCCAGCTTGTAGAAAAGCAGGATTAGAAATAACCGTGGTGTGGAGCGCCTGGGTGGCTTAGTGGGTTAAGCATCTGCCTTCGGTTCAGGTCATGATCCTGGGGTCCTGGTATCGAGCCCCACATCGGGCTCCCAGCTCAGCAGGGAGTCTGCTTCTCCTTCTCCCTCTGCCCCTCCCCCTGCTAGTGCTTGCCTGCTCTCTCTGTCAAATAAATAAAATCTTAAAAAAATACCATGGTGAATTCAGGAGATTCCAAGCAGCAGTGGAGGATCATGAGTGGATGGGAGCTGTCAAGAAGTGGAGCTACATCATGGGGACCTTGAATGCAGTGCTGAAAAGTTGGTGGGGAGCCTTTGAAAGATTTTAATCGGAGCAGGGACCTCATTAGACATGTATCTGAAAGGAACAGAAGCTCAGAGCCCTGAGATGTATTTGCTATCTGTAAATGCTCCTATTCCAGAGTCTCCAAAGAGATGCTCTATTTGGTACCCCTTTGTGTTGATAGATTTCTGGACCATATCAGCCTAAATTATGGATGAAATATAAAGGGGTAGAATCATAATTTATTTTATCCCAGTCTTTGTCTCCATAGCCTGATCCTCTCAGGATTCAATTCCCAGTGACATCAATGATCTGGCACCCTCTTGCACTTCATCTCAGTGGTGGAACAAGGTGGGGTTATGCTTCCCTCATAGTGTATCCTCATTCTGAAATGATATTGGTGACCAGAAGTTTGGGAACTGCAAAGCACGGCTCTTCCACTGGGTGGAGGCTATTATTTGGCTGGTACTAACGAGTCTGTTTTCTTAATTTCTGTAGCAAAGAGGGTGTGTATGAAATCAGTGTATCACCCACAGGTGTATCTAGGTAAGTGCATCCTCCCTAGAAAGTGACTATATTATCGAGTTATAGTCTCTTAAAATATTCTGCTCCCTTACTTGAAACAGGTAACCTCTGCCTCTGAAATTCTTGGGGAGTGAGAATTTAGTAATATCTCTTTTTATATAGCATTTCTAACTTCAAAATATTTTCACAGCCTCTCTTTCAGGTACAAGTAACTATTACTTCTGTAGTTTTTCAGATGGCCAAAGAGATTGAGGACTTTTTCCTAGTGCCACATAGTAACTTAAAAATTGAGTTGATCTAGCCTCCACTTTTATGCTCTGAGTGCTACATGTTATTATTATTATTATTATTACTTTACGTTATATGTATTACTACATTTATTATATTAATCATATTACTACATATATTTATATATAACATATTTAGTTACGTTAACCCTTAATCTACATGAGTGGATTAATACCTTAATCTACATTAAGGTAAGTTTTAGTAAAGTTAAAGCATATACAATTTAGGGTATAGTTAGCATTAATCCTTATTAAAAACATTTTGAGGGATGCCTGGGGTGGCTCAGTTGGTTAAGCGTCCAATTCTTGGTTTTGGCTCAGGTCGTGGTCTCAGGGTCGTGAGGTCGGGCTTAGCCTATAGTCTGCTTGAGATTCTTTCTCCCTTCCCCTCTGCTCCTTCCCCTCCTTGCACACGCTCTCTCTCTGTCTCTCTCTCTCTGAAATAGATAAAATCTTAAAAAAACATTTTTTTTGAAAGCATCCCCTTAATGCAAGAATATACTAATTGTCACTATAAAATAATGAAGCATTTAAAATAAATATATCAGAACTTATATATCTAAATGAGTTGCTTAGAAAGAGCTTCAGAACCTCCCTTTCAAAGCAAGTTTAACAGTCATGTGAGAAACCCAGTTGCATTATTTTGGTCGCATCTCATTGTCAACCAGGTATGGCTTCAGGAAGTGAGCTTTGGCTCTTTCAAAAAATCAAACACACCTCCAGAGAGTGAAGTTCAACTGAATGTTCCAAGGGCTTTGAGAACATTTCTTAAGAAGGAAAAATGATTTTGAGCTGACTTGGCATTATTGAAATAAGCGTATATTCAATGAGAGAAAGAACCCTCATTTGGAAATGTTTATTTTGATACATTCATAGAAGATCACTTTCCCTACAATTGGCTTAGTCTCAGAAGATAACCAATTGTTAAAGTAACACAGGGCCAGGCATTTTATTACTCTACTTTTCATAGTGAGCCTATGAGGTGGATATCATTTTTGTGTTTCAGAAAAACCAAGGTTCAGAGAGGTTAAGTAATTTGCCCAAGGTTTCACAGCAGGTGGTGGTAGAGCAATATTTGAAGCATGTCTCCAACAGCCCTCATGCATTCTTTTTCCTTTATTGCCTCTTTTATTTGTCTTAACATGAAAGTTTATTTCACATTTGGAACATCATGACCTGGTGATAATTAGGGTCTGTTTGCCATGAGAAATGTGGTAAGATGATTTCCTCTACCCAGGAGGGAGCATCCAGATTAACTTCCTCCACTAATGCTTAGAGACTAGCCCATCTTCTCTGTGTGTGTGTTTTTTTTTTTAAAGATTTTATTTATTTTGGGCGCCTGGGTGGCTCAGTTGGTTAAGCGACTGCCTTCGGCTCAAGTCATGATCCTGGAGTCCCGGGATCGAGTCCCACATCGGGCTTCCTGCTCAGCAGGGAGTCTGCTTCTCCCTCTGACCCTCTTCCCTCTCGTGCTTTCTATGTCTCATTCTCTCTCTCTCTCAATAAATAAATAAAATCTTTAAAAAAAAAAGATTTTATTTATTTTGAGAGAGTGTGCACGTGAGTGGGGGGAGGGGCAAAGGGAGAAGGAGAGAGAGAATCTCAAGCAGACTCCACACTGAGTGCGGAGCCCCTGAGGCTGGGCTTGATCCTGGGACCCCAAGATCATGACCTGAGCCGAAATTAAGAGTCAGATGCTTAACCCACTGAGCCACCCAGGTGCCCTTCTTTTCTGTGTTCTTTAGTTAATAATGGTTCTTTCTGCATCAAGGGTGTGTTTGTATCCTGGCTTTATTGACCTAAAAGAAGCCGACTGGGTATTGCAACAGCTTTGTGAGGTCGTTCCCTGGAAACAGAAAACTGGCATCAGAGACGGTAAGTACTGTCTGAGATCGCACTTTTGCTGCCTGGTCTCCCTTTCTGGAATGTTTTCTGATACTGTTGCCCCTTTCACCACGCCCAGTCTTAATTAAACAGATTTAAAACCTAACAGAGACCCTAAGAATGATTAGGGATTTGCCAGCCAAAAGGGACAGGGAAGAGTATTCCAGGCAGAAGAAACAGCAGGTGGCAGGCTCAGAGATCAGAGCGAACAGGGCAGGAGCATGGACGTGGCAATTCAAGGAACCAAAGGATGTTTGGTTTAGCTGAACTGTGGTTGATAGCTCTCTTTTTGAGTTTGTTCATTACCTTTATTACTTTAAATAGTGCCAGCTTTCCTCTTTTTTCATAGAAACTTCCAGAGCTTTCCTTTTTCTGATTGTATTTGGCATACGTTCTTTATGATCCTTATTACCGGCTTTTTATTCTCATTTTAGTTTCACAAGAAGAGTCCAGTGTCCTTTAGTTTCAGCATCTGTACTGTCCTGAGCTTGTAAAGATTACCTGACTTGGAACCTGCTCCTCTGTGCGCATCCAAGGGCCAGCAGTATCTGCTATACCAGAGGTGGCCACTGGAGGACGTCCATGCTCTAGCATAAAATTTCCTTTTTGGAACCTTGAGTGAATTCAGATTTTCTGTAAAGAAAGAGGCAAAGTATACTGGCTTCATTTTTGTGACTCAGACATCAGAATAGGGGTCCACTTTTTCTCCTGACTCCCAGAGTTTCCACAGTAGGGCTTTTGGTGGCCAAGTTGGCCTCAATTGCTGCCTTTGTCATTCACAGTAATTGTTAATTTTAAGCAAGTTATAGTTAAGTAGTTTTCTGATTCTGGGTTTTCTGATCTGTAAAATGGTATAATAATACCTACCTCGTAAGGTTGTTGTGATAATTAAATGAGATACTGCCTGATAAGTGCTTAGCAGAATGACTGGTACATAGTAAGCCTTCAGTGAATGCTAGCTGCCTTTATCATTATTGTTCTTACTTTAGCAGTTGATATCAGTTGTGGGGGGAAAATAGCAGATCTGTGGATAACTCCCTTTTAGATAAATTGGACATCAAAAACTTCTGACTACAGTCAGCTTTGTGCTGTCGTTGGTCAAAACCCCTTTTTCTTAAAATCAAAAGGTGGCACGTTGATGAACAGTGTGTCTTGTTTCTTGTGTGGATGTTGGTGGCACAGATTCCTGCCTACAAGAGTTCAGACTTCATAACCTGCTTTTTTTTTAGACTCTCCCTAATCTGAACTGTTCTGCAGTATGAATCCACTCTTATTTATGTCCTCACTGATACAAACAAGTGACACATAGTCTCACCTCAGAGCCTTTGTTGCTATAGTTTCTGCCAACATACCTTCTCTTGTCTTCTTTCTTTGAGCTCTGTTGCATTCTACTCGTGAAATCCCATGTCCTCTAAGAACGTGGAACCCTGGGTCAGAGCCCATCTTCACTCTGTCTTTGTATTTCTCATGGTTTCTTGCACATTGCATGGCACTCAGTAGGCACACCTTAAGTAGCGTTAAACCATTTCAAAGGCCCTGTATTTTCTTTCTTAGATGTAACTTACAAGCAACCAAGACTTACAGCATGGTATGGAGAACTTCCTTACACTTATTCAAGAATCACTATGGAACCAAATCCTCACGTATGTTGGAATATCGTTGTTGGTATGGTTTTATAGACTATGTACTATAAATGTAGAGTTCTATAAAATAACAGTATATTATCTTGTAGAGTTGCACGATGGTTCCTAGTTCCAAAAATCCTCTGGGTTCAAACACTGAGTCTTTGTGCTTACCATTCTCGGTGTGTTTTTTTAATCTGGAGATGAACTCTGAGGATGAGAAAAAAATTGGAGCTGGAATAAACTGGAACCGGGCTCAAGGATTTCAGGAAAATGAACCATTTCTTCAAATCTTCCCCTTCCCCAGCTTTTCTGGCCATAGCCTTCTGTGTACACCCTGCCTGGTACACATTTGATTTGGAGCCAAATTCTTATGACTGGCCAGTGAGGTCAGAACTCATCTCTTGCCATTTCTCAGGCTCTTTTGCCATTTGTGAAAAAAAGTCTCGTGTTTTTCTTGTTGACTTTATACTCATTCTGTGGCTGCAGTTCTTAGACTTTAGAAATCTTTTCGTGGCTTTAGCTTATTTCTACTGTTTCTTTTGTTTTTAAAAATTTCCATGACAGTAGACAAGGAGATTCTAGTATATAAATTAAGCTTGTCCAAAGGATAGAGTTAAGGTCCAAGAAATAGCTCCCTGTTTATTTCTTGGAATCTTGCCTTTGGCAGATAATTTTATGCTTTATTGAACAAGACTTTGAAGAAAATGGAGTTTTACTTATGACATAGGGATAAACAGAAATATGACACATTTTAGAGCTTCTAGTAATTTGTAATAATAAACTCCCACTTGACTAAAATGTTTAGGGACAAAATATTGACAGGGGTGGGAGTGGGGACATGGCTTTTTCACACAAGAAGATAGCTCCATGCTTTTGTTTGTAGGGCTGCATTTAAAATGTGACCCAGGGAAGTGCTGAGACCCTTTATAGCTGAGGTTGATTTGGAAACATGAAGAGAATTGAATTAGACCAATCCAACAGATGGCTAGCCATGTTTCTGTCAGAATTAATTTACCTTCTTGTCAACAGTCATAGCAGAGAAGTTGAGGATTAAACAGGCTCTAGGGAAGAAGTTCTTTCCTATCACTGTAGTTAATCTTTTAGAACAGGATTTCTCAACCTTGGTATTACTGGTTTTTGGGCTGGATAATTCTTTGTTGTTGGGGCTGTCCTGTACATTGTAGGATTTGTAGGATGTTTAGCAGTATCCATGACTTGTACCCAGTAGATGCCAGAAGCACCCTTCACCCAGTTGGGACAACCAAAAATGACTCCAGATATTGCCAGACATTTGCTGGGGGGCAGAATTGCCCTTGGCTAAAAACCCCTGCTTTAGAATAAACATAAGGCACATCAGATATGCTGAATAGTGTGGCCACTTATGCTTTGAGGATATTTTGATAACTCTTCAAAAGACTTTTTTAATGACAGTCTTTTTCTTACAATGTATGTAATGTGAATTTATTTTTAAAAATTTTAGAAACTACAGATAAGCATGAAGAATATTAAAATTTTGGGTAATTCTTCCATCTGATGTTTGGCTCCAGTCTTTTTATTTTTTAAAGTAGGCTCCGTGCCCTACATGGGCCTTGAACTCATGACTCTCAGATCCAGAGTCAAATGCTCTACCAACTAAGCCAGCCAGGTGTACCTCCCCCCCCACTTTTTTTCATTTTTGGGAATTATATAGAGAGAATTTTTCTATGAAAATATCAATTATGTATACTACGTTTCATTTAACTATCATTAACGTGTCTTAGTATCATTAAATATTCTTTTACATCATATTTAATAGCTATGTAGTATTCCATAATTTGTATGTACATACCATAATTTATTCAAGCAAGCTTTTTTGTTGGATATTAAGGTTGTAAGATTAGAATTCTTTTATTTGAATTTGGCTGGCTCTTAGCTTTGTGTTTTTTGCTAAAAGATTTATTTAGTTTGTTTATATACCATCATGAACAAAATCAAAAGAAATGGGCACCTGGGTGGCTCATTTGGTTAGGCGACTGCCTTCGGCTCAGGTCATGATCCTGGAGTCCCGGGATCGAGTCCCGCATCGGGCTTCCTGCTCAGCCGGGAGTCTGCTTCTCCCTCTCCCGCTCCCCCCCTCTTGTGCTCTCTCTCTCTCATTCTCTCTCTGAAATAAATAAAATCTTTAAGAAAAAAAAAACCCGAAAGAGATGCCTCTTTCTCAGATTTTGTAAAGGTATATATGTGTGTTGGGGGTTCTTGTTTAATTTTAACTTGTTTAATTTTAAAATTATTACCTCAAGCTTAATAACCCAAAGCGCAGGAGCAAATTCAATCAGAGGTTATTAAACTTCTTTTAGTGTTTTTTGAACTAAATCTTATATGGACCCAATGTATGAAAATAAAGAAGTGCCTTGACTGGCTGGGAGTCCCACCAGCTTGACCTCTCCTTTTTCCTGCTGTAATCCCAGAGACACCTCTGTGGTACCCAAGACTCCACAAAACACTTTTTGAAAGCCACTGAATAGGTCCTTTCACTTCTGTGATTCATATTTTCTCATACTCTTTTCCTCAAATGTCTTTTAAGGATAGAATGTCTTCACTGAACAGTGAGATGATGCTGAATTTTTAGTTTAGACATTCAGTTCTGAGGGATCTGTATATAGAGTATTGGTTGGAGAGTCTAAATTAATCCTCTAGTTCATTATCCCCTTTTTTTTCTCCTTACTTCACCACCAAAAATAACCAGTAAAAATATATACCCACTTAGAAACATAATGCAAACTTGGAGTTATCACAGTACTCAGTCCCTAAGCAAGTCAGGGAAGTGCTAATTAGTTTCTCAGTCACATTGCAGAAGAGCTATCTTCCTCTTTTACATTCTTGTTTTTCTTGCTAAGTGTATAATTCTAGCATCTGATCTTTGTCTCCGTGAAGATAAGCTTAAAGCCATAAAATAAATAGGAAATACATTATTATGAAATCTCACTTTGAAATTTACTCTCTTGAACATAGGTTAGTTTAATAACATTTCTATTTTACTGATCTAAGTTTGGTTTGTTATTGTTGTTTATTTTAAAAAATCCTCTGCTTAGACTGTAATGCTAGTATCCATAATAAGGAATCCCAGTTTACCACGATTGCTACATCACAGCAAAGCTGAGTGATTCCCACTTAGGCTTCCTTGGCAGTTTTACCTGACAGTAGCCATGGGATATAATATTATGCTTTCCTTTGCTGAACATGTATTCCTTCACTACCATACATAGAACATGACTTTGAAGGTGTTCTCTAAGGTAAGTTTTTAAAGTAGAATTGGTGGATCCTTGGAGGGGTCCACAAAGTCCTTTTGGGTAGTGCACAGGTCAAAACTATTTTTATAATAATACTAGGAGTGTATAACATTTTCACTATGTTGAATTTGCACTGATGATACGAAAATAATGGTGGATAAAAAACTTCTGGTTAAAAATTAAAAAAATAAAAACAAAAAACTTCTGGTGCCTGAGCATTAATCAGGTCATTGTCACCAAACTATGCTAGTAATCATGGTATTCTTCACCACCATGTACTTCCAATTAAAATTAAAAAAAAAAAAAAAGCTGGTTTCATTTTAAGAACATTCCTCAAAGCAGTAAACATTATTAGTTTTATTAAATCTCAATATTTGAGTTCATGTCTCTTTAATAGTTTGATGAAATGGAAAGTATGCATAAAGCACTGCTGCTACAAGCCAAGTGTGATGGTTGTCAAGGTAAAACACTTGTGTGATTCTTTAAGCTACTTTTATCATGGACCATTTTTGTTTGGAAGAACAACTAGCAGACAAACTGTAGTTATTTAGGCTTGATTGGTAGACATATTCTCATAAATAAATGAAGTGAGGGTCCCTTCAAGGAAAACAATGGATAGGATTTGTTACTTATAAAAGTTGGGTTTTCAAGAGAATTAGAATTGTGGAAAAAGTCATATCCGCCCCTTTGATCCTGACCTCTTTCTATTACTTAGTCTTTTCTGATGAGATCAGTGGTAATATTAATAGATACGGTTTTTTAAAATTGTATAATGAAATGTGTCAACAGTAATGTCAGTCTGCATTACTCATTGGATCAATATTTTCCACATGACCAACGCTTGATGTTACGGAATCATAAAAGATTAAAAGACTCATTCAAAGTGCAAGCGGGACCAGTAGATTGAAATTTAAGAGAATATAACAGAAGTTTGTTGATATGGTTTCCGATTCCACACTGCAACTAGTACTTGTTGAGTTTTGGTGTAATAGCAAAGAGTATCCACAATTATTTGGAAAGGCTGGAAAAGACTCCTGTCCTTTTCTAACTACATATTCATGTGAAGCCAATTTTCTTCATATACTTCAACAAAAACAACATATTGTAACAGACTAAATGCAGAAGCAGATGTGAGAATCACCTCTTCAGTGAAGCCAAACAGTAAAGAGATTTGCAAAACAGTGCCAGTCTTCTTGCCAGTTTTTTGTATTGGAAAATAGAGTTATTTTTTGTAAAATAGTATTTATGTTAACACGTCACGGGTTCGTATTTTTTAAATGAATTAACCAATAGTTTAACTTTTTTAAGTTTTAATTTTTAATAGGATAAATGTCATAGCTGTAACCCATATAAACAGAAGTTCTTTGAGGTCCTCAATTTTTGATAGGGATGTGAGAATAACTGTCATAAAAGGAAGCTCTGTAAAGTACTTGAGGTTTCTTGGAGGAAGGACAGAATTCTAACAAGAACTAATACAAGTTATGCTGATTGTAGCTCCCGACTACAACCTAAGGTCGGGTCATAGCTTCCTATAGTGTATGTGGCAAGACGTGAATCCCAGATATAAATGGTGTAAGTGAACCAGGAGCTCAGGAGGCAGGGCCGTGGTATCTGTTTAAGTCTTCTGTAGCTCACAGCCCGTGTAGTAGTCAAGGCCATGTTGTGATTCTGTTCTGCAGAAGGTTTTTTCCCTTAGGTTCTATTTTTAGGAAGTTAGCCACTCTGGAAATAATATCTTTTTTTAAAAGCAATTCTGTCATTCACGATAAAATAGGAGTTGAGTGAACAGAGGGCCACCCAGCAGGAAAGTTGTTTCGCTCCTCAGACTTCAGTCTGAACCTGCCAACTTCCTGGCAGCCCGTCGGCTGGGGCAGCAGGCCGGGCTCCCTGCTCCACCTACCTCCTTCCTGACCGACGGAATGTGATGACAGTCACTGCCTTCCGAGGGTCGTGTATTTTACACGGGAAGGTGGAGATGCGTAGAGAGGGTTGGTCTTCATGACATTCCTAGACCAAGTTTAATACCTTAGTAAAACTGTGGGGGTCAGCTTGCATTGAAATAGAAATAATGGGGGGAATTGACTCTTCTTGCCCATGGCTGTCGCATTCCCAGTGTTCTGCTTATTCCACGCCCCTGTTTAGAACATGGCTCATTTTACCCTTCCTTCTGTTTTACCTGTGGCTGCCACCTTGTATCTGATGGAACCATCTCTGCCCCTTTTCTTGGCCTCCTGATCGCAGTGGCACCCTGTGCTGCGCACACTGAAGGACCAGATCGAAGAGAACACCGGCCATACCTTCAACTCCTTGCTCTGCAATCTTTACCGAAGTGAGAAGGACAGTGTCGACTGGCATAGTGACGACGAACCTTCCCTAGGGAGATGTCCCGTCATCGCTTCCCTGAGCTTTGGTGCCACACGCAGTTTTGAGATGAGAAGGAAGCCACCACCAGTGAGTATTCTCTTTCTCTTTTTTTATGTTTTTCTTGCCTTCTAATTGTGAAAAAAGTAGGGCTCTCAGAAGCTCCTGTTTTCAGATTTAGAGAATAGGAGTACGTGTTTTATTTTTGAAACGTTTTCAACTGATTGCCTCCCCCATGGTTAACTTTGTACTCCCTTCGTTCGTTCATTCATTCGTTTACTTACCCGACAGAAACTGCTTGCCTTGTGCCCAGTGCCGGGGGCCTGTTTCCGTTGGGTTGACAGGAACAGACACAATCCCTGTCCTCATGGATACAGGGGATAGACAGCTATTACTAATTACTGAAATAATTGGAATTATGATAGATGCTGTGAAGGAGGGCTTATAAAGGGAAGGCTCAAGCTAGCAGATGCGAGATGGGAAAGGAAGGTGGTGTGAGGAAGATGCCCCTGAAAAAGCCTTTATTGTACGTAAGTCTTCTGCCTCTTTTCTGTGAGGGAACATTGTGAGCATCTTCATTGCCTTCTGAGCCATCTTCTGAAACACAGATGAACCTGTAATTCTTTCAGAAAGAGGAAATTCAAGCCAAAATATCAGAGGTGGTCTGTCCAAGTTCAAGTGGAGAAGCAGTGACTAAACTACATAATAACTTTAGTTTTCCGTCCCAGCTTTTACCTGTATTACATGACATTTGAGGGACACAAAGACTGTTAATTTTCTTAAATCAAAAAAGTATAGGACCTTAGAACTAAGATAGATAGAAGAATAGTAGGCACTCAAAAGAGCAAACCTCAACCAGATTATCTTATTAACTTCGTGTCTTTTTCTTGCCAAGCTTCCTGATCATTTAGCTAATAACATTAAAGCAGACCCAGTCAGTGTGGAAAGGCTTATAAGGCTGTGTTTAGAATATGACCTAATCCAGACCAAATAGTGTGTCAGTGCTCATGTCTGTTCTTCATCAGATACGCTGCTTCTAAGAACATAGTTAATGGACTGGGCTATTTTCCTGACATGTATTTCGGTTTCCAAGCATGGTATTTTGAAGCATATTGTTTTATTTTTGCATTTATGCCATTAAGCAGCTTTTGTTGGTATAATTTCCATTGATTAGGTTTTCTTTGGTATGTGTTAACAGGTGATTGTCAGTTGCCAGAGACGTACTGAGTGAACTCGCTCCTGAGCACTTTGAATAGATTTCACAGTTTCATTGGTGATTAGCCTTCTCATATACCAGGAGTACCACTTGAGAAGCAGACAACCCAACATTTGGGTATGGTTATGCTTTTATATGCAGCTTCCACTCAGTTAAAACCCAGTTAAATAAATTATATGAAAAATTCATCCTGCCCTTGGAAAGGAAGACTCCTGTTATGTGAATAGCAGAGAAACACCATGTGTCTCATTTTTAAGTTCAGATCCTCTTCTCAAGCCAGGCATAAGGAACACCAACTTTTTGTCAGGCATGATCGTGGGAGCTGGGGCTGTTGCAACGACTGAGTGAGATGAAGTCACCTTTTCCCTCCTGGAGCTTATTACCTAGCACATACTGGTGCTTTGCCTTCCTACGGGAGTTTTCCTTCCTCCTCTCTGACCAGCACATAAGCTGTGCTACATGCAGGATAATGTTTAATGTAATCCTAGCCTCTCTGTTCTTGGCATTACTTTCTTTGTTACCAGGTATTTAAGTGTTCGGTTACTGTTTCTTTACAACATCCATTCACCACCACCACCACCCTTTTAAAAACATTTTCGGCCTATTTATAGATTTGAAGCCTAAGGATTCCCAAAGCATGCTTTCTGGATAATTAGTTTTACTGTAGAAGCAGTTTCCAGCTGTTAAGCATTAGCAGTATTCTGGTGCCCAGAATACCCCCATTCTATATCCCCTCCAGGCAGCTGAAGGTCTTCATTTTCTCATATAAAAACATTATTCATGGCGACCAAGAGCTATTTCTTGGTAATATACCTGACTTCTGTTAGAGGTTCATGAGTGGATGGATAATACAACTGCCACACCGCCTTGAAGGCAACCATTTGGAACAAAATCCCGGTTTAAGAGGGAGACTGCCCATACTGAAGCTTTATCTTCTCAAGGCTTCTTACAGTTTATTTTGATGAGTATAGTGAAAGCACAGGCCATGAAATACCAGAAAACATGGTACCGTCCCTGTAATTATTTGCCAGTGGCAAGAGAATCTGTGCTATACCTATGATGGCTGATTTAATAAAAATATAGACCTCCTAAGTAAGAAAATTCACCTGAGATCTTGAAACAAAGTTGGCTGAGGAAACAGATTTGGGAGGAAATATAAAGGTGTCAGTACCGTACCTCTGGCTATTGACTCTTAAGTCTTGGCTTCCTCCATAATCTAAACTATGACTTGAGTTTGATATAATTGTATATCCCTTCAATTTTGGCTTTTGTTTAAGATGGGAAAATTGAAGCTTAATATATTGGAAATTATCATCACACATTACTGAATACAGTTTAAAAATGGCTTTTTCCCCCCTCAGAACCTGTAAGTTCCATTCTTGGGTAAACAAGACCCAAGTTTAAACTTTTGGAAGGACTCATTCAGGTTTCTTTAACAGATCCCAAAATCTAGGACTCCACAAATCTAGCTAAACCAGAAGTACAGAAGCCTTTCTTTGAGTTGACAGCCTTAGAAATGCATATCAGAATACATCATCTCTATTTTATTATAATGATCCCTTTCCTGAAGGATTGAAAGGAAATGGTTTTTGAAAATCTGTGTCTACTTTTCTTTCTAAACTCCGGTCGGTGAGCGCTCTGAGAACATGACTCATGATTCATACAACTCAAGGTAAAAGCATAAATTAAAAAGTATAAATTACGTTAGTCTTCTGTGCGGAATTTGTAGGAGTCTGACTTTCTGTCAGGAAACTCTTAGGAACCTAACTTAGTATGCCACTATAGGCTGTAATTTTCACGTTTGTCAGCAAGACATTCAGAGTATGTTAGAGGTTGTGGGAGGGAGTCTTTTTCAAAATCCGGTTCGTTTTAACCTATCAGAAGAGAAGCTAAATACTTGTTTGACTTGAGTCAAAGTTTCTCATCCGAAAGTGACGGAGAAGAGTCATGAGACTTGTGTACTTTATTCAGGTATGCAGTTTGGAGACAGAAAAGCATCTGTTTGGGGCCACTGGTTTTGTTACCTGCCATCCCCCCACCCCTGCGGCCGCTGTTTGTTGTACTGTCTGGCACCTTTGGCAGGTCTCTGTAGCTGCTGGTCTTCTGAAAGCCGCCCCAGTTCTACACACGGCGTTCCTAGCAGTTTCTCCCTGTGCTGAGATGGCAAGGAGGTCTTTGTTTCCTAAGTATGAGTGCTCCCCTGATTCGTGCAGTTGGCTCAGCTGGCTTCATGCGGGCGTCGTCCCTGGGCTGAATGGTTCACCCCTCCAAGATGCTGAACCTTCTTCACTATCCTCTAGTCCAAGCCAGTCAACTCCTTCCCATTCATTTTGACTGTAGCATAAATTATCGTTTCCTTTAATGATAACAAGGTACTTGGTGGCCGAGTAAACTTGCCTGATCTTGCTGTTCCATTCACTGAATAGCACCATATCTGTCTTCCGGCCAATGTCAGGATATACTATCTCAAGACAAAAGTAAAGCTTACCAAATATACTTCAGTGGACACTTTTTTAGAAACCAAGAACCTTTTTTTATTCTTTCAAGCTGGGCTCATTAAAGTTTGTCTATGCTCCTTGTCCCAGACCCAGTTGTATTTTCCAAAATGCATCGTGTCCCTGCTATAAAGATTAGTCTGGTTCTTTTCCCAGCTAGCTTTAGTTCTATACTGAAAAACAAGCTGGAAAAGGAACTACAAAAGCCATTTGGCAGGCTGCTATTTCTCTGTCGGTTACCATGGAAACAGTGATGGCTGAGTTGGGGGGATATTAGATAATAGCAGGAAGTTTGTGATGTGCTGGAGTTTTAGATGCCAGAAGCCTTGTTCTTCTAGCACGTTACCCATGGATAAGCTCTGTCCTTCATCCCCTGAATCCTGAAAATGTGAAGGGCTTCTGTCCACCTCAGGCTAGTGAGTTGAGGCAAATTCAGCATTTCTCAAGCCACTTATCTCTCTAGCACCTTCTGAAGAATGCGGACCCTGTTCATAGGACCAGAAGAGATGGTTGTAAAACCACTTCCAATGGTGGAGGCTCTGAGAGCTCCCAGTGACTTGGAGTTCCTAGTACCTATCTTGCTCATTGGTTTTTTCGTCCACTCCTTGGAAGAGTGGAGTATGAAAAGGTCAGTTTGATCATAAATCCTGATACTTTTTCAGGACTTTAGAAGAAATGAGGATATTAGAATCCAAAATGCTATAATACTGACTAGCTTAAATTTGAAAGCTGGATAAACTACACGGGGCAGTATTTCATGGAGTAATGCCTGAACCTCCACCTCAGCCAGCACCCCACTGCTGCTGGTCCAGTCATCCATATCTCTTAATCAGCTCCTCTTCTGATTACAGCGTCTGTTTTGAGAAGTTACAGAAAATACCGGAAAGAAATTGTTGATAACCATTGTCTTTTTAATACATCCCTAAATGAAATCTAGAAAATCAGTTTTTATTTCCTGTTTCTGTCACTGATATTGGCAAAAAGCACCTATCCACCTCATTTATACTCTCTTCTTTTTTTGTAAATGGGGTGATAACTGGTAGCTACTTTATGGGAGCGAAGTTGTTGCACTAAGTGAATTTTTAAGCTCTTAAAAATGATAGATGCCACAGTGACTTTTCAGATTTGGAAATTGGAAAAGGAAATGAATGGCAGGGAAGCCCAAATCCCAAGATTCCTTTGGCCTGTGAAATGGCATTCATTGAGGGAATAGAAGGGAGACTCGGGGAGGGTGAAGTGGCCTATGGACCAGGCATGGTTACTGAGTTTTTGAGCTCCTGTCTCTAGGGCCATTTAATGGTTTGGAGAATGTGAGTGGGTGGGTAAATGAAAATGTACATGTTTGAGGCCATAAAGCTGAGTAGTTCTGGTAGGACTTG